ATCTACCATATTGCTTACCAGGGCAACGTCATCGCTAAGCAGCGCCATCATGATAATTGATAATCTACAATCATCAGCTCTCGGGATGCATTATTATGTACATGGCCTCGCTCCGCGACTCTCCAAGTCTGCAAAATGAGACTGAACCTTCCGCTAAAAAATGGAAAGATACAAAGCCATGATTTTTTCTCTGTTGTGCATGTGGAAAGTACTGCTGAAGGCCCAAAATCAATTCCACTTTCACCGTGTTTGCATGATAATCAACTACTTCCCCCTTTCCATCAGTGATACTGTCGCTTCCACTTCTACTTTCCACCCTGGGTGTAACGCCAACGAATCCGAATACTTTTTCGTTGGGGGGGGGGGGGGGGGGGGGGAGGGGACCAGTGGGGAGGAGAGAGGAGAAGACGAAAATGGCGGCGGCAATGTGCGCGTATGCTTCTTGGTTTAGTCCCTCGCGTTCGCCTTCATCCTATCATATCTCATGCGCCCAATTCACCACAACGAGAATGAAAACAAAACAAAAAAACATCGAGATCATCAACCTACAGTCTTCTCCCGAATACAACGTACGGTCATTATAGCTGACTTTAGACTGAAAGATACCCCCAATTCAGCTATAATGATCGGACGTTGTATTCGGGGGAAGACTGTAGCCGCCTCCAATTTCGGAGACAACTTTCCCCCTGCTTCCTCTCAATCATCAACACACAAGCATCGTAGAACATCGAGGCCACGGAACACCAGTCATCCTCTTGATTGATGGATAGCTTAACATTGTGCCACGTGTCAGTCAATCGATTACGCAGTGATCATCGTATTCCTATCATAGCATCAAAAGCGATCTTCATCACTCGAACTAGGCGATCAAATCGATCACCATAAATCACCTTCACACATCACATCATGGATAGATAATCATCACACACGGTGGGCGATAATCAACCCGGATTATAACCAATCATCATGGCCATCAACTACAGTCCTCCTTTAAGATACTCCCCGCCAGCCGCCAACCAACTGGTAGTAGTAATAATCGTCCCCGCCATCATCCTCAAGTGGTCACGGCCTGAAGATTCCATTTCTTGCGCTCATCATCCCTTGAAAACCGTTCACAACCAGAAAGGCAAAATGGAGACAGCAGCGGCATCGGTTGAGTGGGGACTTCTCTCGCCCATCTACATTCATTTGCTAGTTCCAGCACCACACTGTCACCCTCCTTCAACTACGTCACCCTTCCTTCTCCCCGCCCACACTAATTCGTAATCTGCCCTGTTCTGCCGCGATCATTGCAAGCGGGAAGGGAAACCATCCACGAAGGAGAGCAGGTTATTTTGCGAAAATTCGACTAATCAAAGACGGCCTTCAGCCAATCACCTACCAGAAACCACCACCAATGGGGGACACACTAAGGGCCTCGCCGCACCACTCAACCAAACGTGCAACATGAGAATGAATGTTCCGCTCAAAACTGGAAGTATACACCGCCATAATTTTTGTCTTCTGTGCATTTGGTGAGTAGTAGTGCGGCGAGGCCCTAAAGCAAGGTAGTACAGTTGTGACGGAAAGGATTGCACAGCTCACGGGTTTCCCTCATGTCTGCCCACATTCGCCTCTACGCAGCCTTAGCACTAGAATATTAGTACGAAAGGGCTATTGGATCACCATCTGATAGGCAGGCCTCTCGGTCACTAGAATATTAGTACGAGATGGCTATTGGATCACCATCTGATAGGCAGGCCTCTC